ATTCCATTTGACTCAGCAATCCCATTACTGGGTATATATCCAAAGGATTATAAATCATTCTACTGTAAGGACACATGCACACGAATGTTCATTGTAGCACAGTTTACAATAGCAGAGACCTGGAGCCAACCCAAATACCCATCGATGATAGATTGGATAGGGAAAATGTGGCACATATACACCATGGAATATTATGCAGCCATCAAAAACGATGAGTTCATGTCCTTTGTAGGGAGGATGAACATGGATGAACCTGAAAACCATAATTCTCAGCAAACTGACACAAGTACAGAACATCAAACACCGCATGTTCTCACTCATAGTTCGGTGTTGAACAATGAGAATACATGGACACAGGGAGGGGAGCAATAAACACTGGGGTCTGTTGAGGGGAAATAGGGGAGGGACAGCGGGGGGTGGGGAGTTGGGGAGTGATAGCTTGAGGAGAAATGCCAGATATAGGTGAAGGGGAGCAAGGCAGCAAATCACACTGCCACGTGTGTACCTATGCAACAATCTTGCATGTTCTTCACATGTACCCCAAAACCTAAAATGCAATAAAAAAATAAAAATAAAAATAAAATCAGAAACTCTCCAGGTGATTCTGGAATATGCTGTAGTTTGAGAATTAATACTAAGGTCAACCGGTGCCAGGGAAGCTATCTGGGAGGTGGTATGAAGTCAACTCTCCTGATTGTCTTTGGAGTACCACCCAACAATGTCGGCTTGTGTGGCATTTGTTGACATTCAGCAAAAATGAAGTCTATCTCAGCTCCCAGGTTTTGCATATTTCCCTAAACTGCCTTTTTCCACATGGAAAACTCCACTTTCCAATAGATTTGGATACTTGGAAAACCCCTTCAACAGAGAGTAGAATCCTAGATGTCTACAAGGTTGATGAAGATGAGCCAGGGAGAAATGAGTTTGTGAAGAAGTCAGATGAAGAGTTCCCATAAAGGCAGGGCACACATGGGACACGGGGCTTTTGTTACACTGGCATATTAGCACACTCCTGATGTAAAGATCCACACACTTCAAGGATTAGATTTAAAAATACATTTCACCGGTCAAATAAATTAGGCAACTGTGAAGAGTTAAAAAATGTGGCACACAGACATTCACCATACCAGTATAAATGTAAGACATAATGTTATATGCAAAAAAACCCCTATATGTGATATATACAAATACTATAAAGATATATGCATGTATGTCTAAATATTAGTGAAAAATCAGACAAACCATTCTTGATGACTTCTAGAGAAAAAGTATGATAGGAAAATGGAGAGGGTAGTTTAAGCTCTGGCTTGATAACCTTCTCTAACTGCCTTTTTTTCCCCAAAAACATTATTATAATACATATTTTTAAAGAAATTAAGAAGTCAAAAATGAAATTAAATACAAATCATTTTTGTGACTAACGTGTCTCTCAAACATTTACAGCTGTTTATTAATTTCAATTGATTCATCAAGTTGAATATCTATCTTGGGAAAAATAGTTTTGTTACATTCTATATCTTGCTGCAAGGTTTCATGGCTCATCACATAAATTTCAGAATAGACAATATAATTTGAAAAGGGAATCTATCAAAACTTTTTCTGTGTCTCTGTACTCAATACTAATATTTTCTTTTCTAATACATTAATCTTCTCAAATTAATCAGCTACTCCTGAGATATCTACAAAAATAAGTTTTTTTTTTTGTAAAGGGGAGAAGGCCTAGACAAAACCAGGTGGTACTGAATTAGAGTTGAAAATATCATATGAACTCATATTTAGCTTAATATAGTTACAGATAGATATATTTATATACATGGGATAGTATACATACCTATATCTTCTAGCTCTGTCTGCTGAAAAAGCCTAGAACTAATAATGTGCTACTAGCAACTAGCATCAGATCATGATTTATCATAACATTCTCCAATAAAATGAACCATGGCTCCTTGGAAAAGTGGCTGGTCCTAGAACTAAGTATAACAAGGAAATATACAAGACAGACCTGGAATAACTTGCAGTGTGACAAAAGGATGAGTGTGTGTCAAAGAGACACAGAAGCCAAACACTGATCTCAAGTTCTGGAAGAACTCACGATGGCCAAAGATAGAACAATTTCAATGTGGGCCACCTTTACTGACTTGTTTCGCAAGAGTAAATATGGAAAGGGGGAAAATGTAACTTTACATTAGAGAAACTGGTAAACGCTACCTCAGCCAGATGGTCAAGGTTAACATCAGTGATAAGTCATGTTGACTGTATATACCCTTGATATATGAGAAAAATAGTATGCTACCTCTGTGTTCGTCCTCCCCAAAATCCATCACCCTTGTAAAACCTTGACAAAAATCTCAGATAAACTAAACTGAGGGACAGTCTACAAACAATCAGATAAAGTCTCCTCAAAACGATCAAGGATAGTCTTAGAAGCTTACAGCCAAGAAGAGCCTAAGGAAACTTGGCAACTAAACATAACGAGCTGTCCTGAAGCAGCAACTACCATGACCTTGAGACGGGAATAAACTCAGCATGTCTAAGCAGCAGAAAGGCCCATGAAGCCAGCCTACTGGGAGCAGGCAGGGAACTAAATGGTCAAGAAGGGGTTAGGGAAGCAGGGCACAGTGGGTCATGCTTGCAGTCCCAGTACTTAGGGGGCCAAGGTGAGAGGATTGCTTGAGCCCAAGTGTATAAGACCAGTCTGCACAACATAGCAAGACCCCATGTCTACAAAAAAGAAAAAAAAAATTGTAATTACCTGGGCATGGTAGCACACCCCTGTAGGCCTAGCTACATAGGAGGCCGGGGTGGCAGGATTGNAAAAAAAAAAAAAAAAAAAAAAAAAAAAAAAAAAAAAAAAAAAAAAAAAAAAAAAAAAAAAAAAAAAAAAAAAAAAAAAAAAAAAAATTAGCTGGGCATGGTAGCATGTGTCTTTAGTCCCAGCTGCTCAGAAGGCTGAGGTGGAAGGTTAAGGCTAGACTGAGCTATGATCATGCCACTGCACTCCAGTCTGTGACAGAGAGAGACCCGTTCTCAAAATAAGATGGGGTCGCGGAGACAGAGTGCTTCTTGACCCTCGGCACATTAGAATCATTTGGGAAGCTTTTCAAAAATACCAGTGCCCAGAACCTACCCACAAGGGATTGCTTTAACTAGTCTGAATCAAAAACAAATTACAGTTACACACAGCCACATGGCTTAATCTACACAAGTTGTTGAGGATAAAGATGCAAGAATATAAACTGCAATTCTGTTACATAAAGATCAAAATCAAGAAAAAACAAATGATATACTACTTAAGGGATACATACATGTTAAAATTCCCCCAAAACAAAGGTATTATGAATACATTACTTAAGAAATTTAGCATAGTATTTTTTTTCTCTTTTGATTTTTTAAAAAATGTAAGTTCTGGGATACATGTGCAGAATGTGCAGGTTTGTTACATAGGTATATATGTGTCATGGTGATTTGCTGCACCTATCAACCAGTCATCTAGGTTTTAAGCCCAACCTCCATTAGGTATTTGTCCTAATGTGCTCTCTCCCCTTTTCCCCCACCTGCTGTGTTGTTCCCTTTCCTGTGTCCTGATATGTGATGTTCCTCTCCCTATGTCCATGCATTCTCACTGTTCAGCTCACACTTATGAGTGAGAACATGTGGTGTTTGGTTTTTCTGTTCCTGTGTTTGTTGGCTGAGAATGATGTCTTCCAGCTTCCCATGTCTCTGCAAAGGACATGAACTCAACCTTTTTTTATGGCTTCAGAGTATTCCATGGTATATATGTGCCACATTTTCTCTGTCCAGTCTATCGTTGATGGGCATTTGGGTTGGTTCCAAATCTTTGCTATTGTAAATAGTGCTGCAATAAACATATGTGTGCATGTGTCTTTATAGTAGAATGATTTATAATCCTTTGGGTATATACCCTGTAATGGGATTGCTGGGTCAAATTATATTTCTGATTCTAGGTCCTTGAGGAATCACCACACTGTCTTCCACAATGTTTGAACTAATTTACATTCCCGCCAACAGTGTAAAAGCATTCCTATGTCTCCACAGACTCACCAGCATTTATTGTTTCCTGACTTTTTAATAATTGCCATTCTAACGGGTGTGAGATGGTATCTCATTGTGGTTTTAATTTGCATATCTCTAATGACCAGTGATGTTGAGCTTTTTTTCATATGTTTGTTGGCCACATAAATGTTTCCTTTTGAGAGTGTCTGTTCGTATCCTTTGCCTACTTTTTGATGGGTTTGTTAGTTTTTTCCCTTGTAAATTTAGCATACTTTTTCTAAGAGGGATTCTAAGGGGTCTTAAAAGGTAAGTATAAAGATTCTTCCTAAACTGGAGGCTGGGAATACAAATGTTCATTTAACATAAATAACTATTCTTTAAACCACAAATATGTATATTATTTCATATCATGAAATACTTCACTATTTAAGAACATTTAAATATTAACCAAAATTTTAGTTCCTCAGTCGTGCAATAATCAAGTTGGTAGGTTATTCTATTGTGTTTTCCATTGAGATGATCCATATTTTCAAAGGAACAATCCTAAAACAATCTAGTGGAAGGTGCCTTGCATGGCAAGGCACCTGAATTACTAAGAACAGTGAAACTATGAGCACTTACCTTAAAGATTAAGCTACAGAGAAATGTGAGAGGAATCTTCAAATATAGGAATATCTATTTTGTGAAAGAAGAAACCAACTTAGGTTTTGGAACTACAGTACAATTAGACCAATGGATTTCTGCAATCAGGAAGCAGATTTCAGCTCAACATAATAAGAGATCTCTGTAAATGGGATGAGCGGTCAAGATTTGATGAACCTTTTCTTCACTGACAGTTTTTAAATAGAAGCTGGATGGCAATGCGGGATAAATACTGAAAGAAGATTCTGACTTTAGAATAGTCTGGATGATTTTAGTAGTTAGCCTAAGGCATTGCTTATAAATGCATGTGCTACATTGGTTGGTAAAATACCAGTTTCACTCACGATTGCACACAGTGGGCTGCAGTCAGAATCCACACTGGATTGATGATGGCACCTCCACATTGGTAATCACCTAGAAACCTCAGACCCACATGCCATGGCCAACAGTGGGGGCAGGCTTCTTCCCCTCCTGCTATTCTTCTGGAAAGCCACTGGGAACTAAATGGAGGGATGCCACAGACATCTACAGTAAAGATGAAACCAAGAACCCATACGGTTTCAGTAATTTGGAACACATTCCTCTAATAGATTGCCATAGTTAACAGCAGTGATTCTCAAACACCAGATGGGCTTTATAACAATACTGACTCCCAAAACTCACCACTGAAAAATCTGATTTTAAGACGCCTGCCCAGGTGACCATGCTAGGCAATCAGAATTTTAGGTACCGGCCTACAAAATTTTATTTATTCATTTAGCAAATATTTATTTACTGCTTGCTATTTGCTAGGCACTGTTTTAAACATTGATGATATTTTACTGGTGGAATGGAACAAATGATAAAAATACTGGACCCTCATGGGACTTACATTCTAGTAGGAAAATTTCAAGTTTGTTAAACTAGTACATAAGGTTCTTCACTGTATCTTGTTTTAGTTCTTGTTCTCACTGTGTGAATCGATGTATCAATCCTCAAACATATCACATTTGTTTGGGCATCTAAATGCTGTTCTCTTATCAGGAATTGGTAAGACCCACAGGTCAAGTGTTAATCTCTAGGAAGACTTCTCCAACCCCCCAGCAAGAGGCAGGTATTTTCTCCTCTAATAGCTCCTTTTGCAACTTTCTATTCCAGTGCATCAACTTGAACATATTCAACCCATGCATGTGGAACAATGATGGATCATAGTATTCACCTAGATACCACAGAGCATAAGGAAATTAAAAGGTGCCAGTGCAAATTTAAAAGAAACAAAAAAACCTTTGCTTTCTCCCTTTGTCCCACACTGACCCTAGAAGTCATTTTAGATATTAAGTTTATAAAGAAATAGATGAGGACAAAAGATTGTTTTATACCATTTTCTTCCTAACGTAAAGTGTATTTGTTCTTCCCTCTACTTACAAGTCTAACTATAAACCCAAATAGGACTTTGGAAGTTTTATAAACATAAATATAAGGCTTCTTCTTCTTCACTGTGGTGTTATAACAAATATAAGAACTTCCAAAGGAGACGTCTAGTTAATAATAAACAAGATTAAACAGATAGTAATAATATACCATCAACTCACCATGCAGAATAGCTTTTGCAGTAGATATAGGATTAGTTTGGGGAGGTGGCATTGGTTCAGTTTTGTTTGAAGACTCTAGAAGAAAAAAAAATTAACTGAAAATAATTAGAGAAGCTACACTAACTGACCCCACTTGCTTACCCTGGTAAAACATAAAGCCATTCTACTGTAGATCTCACTAACATCACCATTCATACACTAGATATACCAGATCCCAGAAATGTGATTTTTTGCATATCTCTTAATAACCCTGTTACATGTGGCGCTTTTAAGCACTTCTTCCTTCCTTGGCTTCCTGATCTTAATCTTATGGTTTTCTTTATATATTGATGGTTGTCTGTTTTCATTATGTCTTTTTTTTTTTTCAGGATCTCATTGTTTAGCCTGAAAAGATATTGGCAAGGTAATGTTCATTACTCTATTTTTATTCATCGACATGTAGATCACTTCCAAATTTCTCTCTTCAATCTAAATCTCTTTCCTGAATCCTAGACCTAAGACTTTTAGATATCCCCACTTGAATTTCCCACAAGCTAATATCTACATGTCTTAAATTGTACTAAGTGATTTTTAACAGTCAATATGGTCTTGTTCTTACATTTCTCTATCATCTAGTGGCTTCTACCATTTACCTCACCACTCATGCTAGGATCCTGAAAATCATACTTGTGAAGGTTAATATTGAGTGTCAATTGGATTGAGGGATACAAAGTATTAATCCTGGATGTATCTGTGTGGGTGTTGCCAAAAGAGATTAACATTTGAGTCAGTGATCTGGGGAAGACAGATCCACCCTTAATCTGGTGGGCACAATCTAATCAGCTTTCAGCTAATATAAAGCAGGAAGAAAACCATGAAATAGACAAGCCTAGCTTCCCAGCCTACATCTTTCTCCATTGCTGGATGCTTCCAGCACTCGAACATCGGACTCCAGGTTCTTCAGTTTCAGGGCTGGGACTGGCTCTCCTTGCTCCTCAGCTTGCAGACAGTCTATTGTGGGACTTTGTGATTGTGTGAGTTAATACTTAATAAACTCCCCTCTCTTGCATGCTCTCTCTCTCTCTCTCTCTCTATATATATATATA